AAAAAAAAAAAAAAAAAAAAAAACGGCCTTTGGAAAGATGTCTAGATGAGGATAGCACAATTCAATTTTTTCAACCATGTTTTTTCGAACTATTCGCGCAGTGTTGTTCGCATTTATCATACTATTATGCAATAAACTTGTATGAATTAAAAAGGTGAGAATTTGGAATATACTCGAATATGCTCACATTGGACGGAATTTTTATACAAATGCTAAATGTATCAAATTTTGGCTATATAAATATTTTTCGTTGTAAGTCATGCTTACTTCATAGGTTAGTCACCCAACTGTTTTCGTAGTAGTTTTAAATGTATTACTGGAGTTGCAATTTAGTCTAATTCACACACAGAGAGAGAGAGAGAGAGAGAGAGAGAGAGAGAGAGAGAGGGGCAGGCATGCAACATAATCAACTTGACTAAATTGCAAGTCAAGTAACAGACTTCAAAACTTAATCATAGTTCATATTTAGGTAAAATTATTGATTTGGAAATGGAAAAAACTAACCAAGTCATTCGTCTAAGAAATAATTTTCCAGTCAGTCCAGATCATTTGCCATGCCTGTTTTGTAATGATATTATTGTAGATGCCAATTGACAAGACAAAAGACAAATATTAAACATAAGCTGTCAGTCAAATGTAAAATACTTCTGGGGGCATCTTGTTTATTTTGGCCTCCATCCAAAGTTGAGAACAGATACTTGTTTTGTTAGAATAAGGTTGTTACCTAATTATTCAAATGTACAGATAGTGAGTCATATAAAACAAAGTACAAAGAGCTCTTTTTATTTCCACTTCTTATATTCAAGGTATCCTTGGGACAGATAAATGACTTCTTAAGGTGTGACTGTACAGTATGTTACACTAATTGCCCCTCTGAGAAGATTGGGGGTGGGGGGGTGGGGGGCTTCAGGTGGCACAAATTCTCATTCTTTTAGCCTATTTTAGTTGGTGAAGGGCCACAATTCTTCACTACCTCAAGAATAGCTCAATGTTTGGTTGCTTAGAACATTTCTCTCTGTAATGGCTGAAACAGCTGTATTTCATATTCAAAGAAGCAGCTTTGACTCATGAATTTTTCCTTTGTTAGTGTGTTCAACTTTCAAGGTCAGTTTAGCCAATTGTTCATCAATGTTCACCTTTTATACTTTGTTAAGTTTTATTTCATGTCATATCCAAGTGGATCAAGATTACAGTCCAACAGTGCTATGGAGGAGTCTCTGAGAAGCTGTAGTAATTTTTGTAGTTCATCTTTTCTGAAGACCTAAAAGGAATAAAAATAAAAGTAAATAAATATAATTTAATGATTAACATATAATTCCAATTAATAGTCAATTTCAACAAATGAAACATCTTTATATGAACCTATAACAGCCTACTTTTTCATTAAATACCACAATCTATTGTACCTTTCTTACAAAATCCTTAACAGTAACTAAAGTACAATAAAAAGAAAAAAATCTAAATGATAACAACTTTCCCTAAAAACTATGCCATTTAAAAAGCACAAATTCTGCTTATCTGAAATTAAGAACTTGTTTGTACTTCAAGCATCAAAATGCCTGTAATACCTATGAAATGTTTCAGGAGGGTTCTGGGAATTACAAACATCTAAGCTTATTTAGATTGCCCTTTCACATGATCTCCCAAATACAGTTGGTCTATTAAGAACAAAAATCAATAATGCATGGGATTTTAAAACAACCATGTAAACACTCCATTAGGAAGAAATGTGTTTTGAATTAAGAACTGTACAAACTAAGTTACACACACACAAAACTGAGAGTAATTGGGATCAAAAAGTTCATGTGAAGAAAGTTCCCAAATTGTCTATCCTGAAAGATGAAGCATCACTCCTGCCTTGAAGTGGACAAATTTGAGTTTTAGCAGACATTAGTTTTATAATCTGGCCTGGCAGAAAGTTAAACAACTGAGATTCAAAACACTGAGTTAAGCTATGAAGTAACTTTTTTAACCATTTTAACATATTTTGTTAAAAGATACCGAGGCAAAAATGAACCCATGTGGTGCACAGTAATAACACCAGCTGATAAGATCTAAATATAATAGCCTCAAAAATACTAAAACATCTGGTAACATTGGGCTTCTGATATAATACAACCATAAACTCAAGATTTACTAAAAGAATGGATCAAAGATGTGGATACCACCTCTATAAATGTCATTATAATTTTGTAACAAATTATTTTCAACAGTATTCCCCTTAACGCCTGTTGATCTGTTATGTGAGGTGATATTATATTCAAGATTATATTCATATTTTTCAATTACAGATATGATAACCTGATGGGACTACCTCACTGATAAAGATCACTTGTTTTGAAATCAAATTGTTTCATTATAAAACCTTTAATGACACATTTTTCATCCAAATAAATAATTTTATACAGCACTGACAACTACATCAAGAGATTAATAATAGTAAAGCTAACACCCTAAACTTACTCTCACAAATCAACCTAATACTTTTGTTTTCCATCTTGGCACACAAACTATTTGATAAAAGCTGTAATACTCAACTTGAGTCACATGAGTGTCTTTTGCTATAATTAATCACAGAGAAAAGCACAGAAATGTCTGGACTAAGATGAGATCTCCCTTCTGCTTGACACATTCTCTTCACATTATCAGTTCATTTTGTAAAATGCTTAGCTCTAAAACCAGCAGTCCAGTATTGACATGGTTCAACATTTGCCAGATTATCTCTGTGAATAAAGAGTGCTATCACTTAAGGTGTGCCGAATTAGTACCCTTAGATTAAAAGCTATCAACAAGAAACTTCCTATGTAACTCAATTCTGTTTCTTTTATATTTGTATATTTCACAGCTCAAAATATAGTAGTTAAATCTAAAATTCTATACCCAACAATGCTAATAGTACATCACATGAAGACAAGTAAACCAAGTTCTATACAACCCACAAGGTGCTCCAATTATCCTACTGAAGAAGCAAACCAATGTTTTTCTTGCAATGAGTTAGGTTAAATAAAAATATAACATGATATCGCATCAGCCTCTCTCTCTGCCTACCTTGTACAAACCATGCTGTTCTGTAGCCACAGTGTCAGCCAGCTGCAAGCACTCTTTGTATTGTTCTGTGGCATGAAGGACGGAATGAAGGAGGAAACACATGGTGGGTAGGCACAGTTGACGTAACAGCCTCATCTGGTGCAGCCGGTTCATATCTTTGGGTCCATCCTGACATAGCAAATGGTACATATTACAAATAAAATATTGCCTAATTAACGACAAGTGCGTTAAATAGATTTTTAAAAATGGAAAATTATATAAAATGCCATTACACAAGACCTAGTAGCTTCAAGTTCATAGATCTAGATACTATTTTTTTTCAAAATAAATGAAAAGCCAAGTACAATCCTTGAGAAACAATAGCTCCTTCAACTTTAAATTCTGAAGGGAGAAAAAAAATGTTCTAGGACAAAACCCATTTAAGAGGATTCCTTACTACTGTCAGTAATAAATTTCACATTCCTGATCCAGTTTCTAATAGTTAAAGACTTGAGCTAGCATTTCAGAGATGTTTTGGACAAGACGCAGTATAGAAACAACACGAAGTGATGTGATTCCGAATACAAAACAATCAACACTTGATATAAGTCTGCATGCGTTGACTTACTTTACAACCAGAACAAGGTCAAAGGGTGCCACTATGAGTACATGATAACCTTTGGGATCATCTGCTTATCTTAAGTGACTTATTATTTCAGCTTCTTGTGAGAGGTGGTACACATAGAGTCTAACACTTATCTTTACGAGTATGGTTTTGAATACTCAAGACTTACATCATTTTATAAACACTTAAAAATAGCCATTAACTTAATGAATAAAAGATCTCTCAGTTACGTATCAAGGAAAAAAATCTTACAGAACAGTCAACATGCTTAACATCCTTGAAAAGTCTCCCAACCGTTTTCTGCCCATCTGACCCCTATATACAGCTCTCAACTTAACCTTTAACAGTCTGTCCCTTCCTCTCTAGTCCCCTCCCGTCTCACTGACCAATCTTTACCCTCCATACCAACCTGTCTTTGATCTGCCATCCATCCTCCATCAACAAATAGTAAAACATTATAAATTCTCTCCACTGTGGTCTGAAAGGAGAGGGATAATTGTAGAGAATATTATCATTACCCAATTATTTAGTGTATTGACTTGATTTTTTTTCTACTTTTTTTTTCATTTAAATGAATCAAAAACCTTACTTGGCACTGTTTTAGATTTTTTTTTTGGATCCTCTGCATAAAAGTACTTTCAACTTTGATATAAAAGCAACTAAGTAAGATAGTAAAGTACAAGCTACATTCCCACATACTTTGGTCTGTAACTCTAGAGAGCGGCGCCACCTATCCATATCTGCCTCATACTGTTTCTCCCTGTGCTCAAAGGCCACCCTCTCAGTGAAGCTGGCTTTCTGAGGAACGTCTGGCTTACTGGGCTTTGCATTGTGGTAGTGCTCAAACCAGTCATTAAAAGAATCATGGGCATCCTGAAGTGATGAAGAAATACTAGCCTCTTTGCTACAAACTATCTGCATGGTGTTTACTATAAACTCATTTCTAGTCAACATTTTGTTTAAACTATCACTTAAGAATTATGTGGTACCTTGGAGATCAGATACATGACACAATATTTTTGCAAGTCAGCAAATTATCACAGAAAAATTGAGGCCCACATCAGTATCCATAAAACTCATTTATACTCAAATAAGCAACACAATTCAATTTAAATTTCTTCATACACTTTAAAATAACATACTATATACATCAATTTAATGTCCTTTTCACTCACCAGATAGGCCTTGTGACACAAGTATTCTCTGATTGCATTGTCATCTTCTGCTGGTAACTCTGTGGTACCATGCTTGATAAAAAAAGGAAAATATTACAATAAATTCAAATTAAACTGCATGTTTTTTCCTGTAAAATCTTATGTAATTATTGTTCTGACAGTTGAAGAAGCAAATTTTCTTTATTTACTTGTTCTTCATTTTTACTTCCTCTTTATTTTCTGATGTGAAAGATGATAAGTCAATGAAAAACTTTGAATTATTTAAGTATCAGTCTTCTAACACTTCAATATGTGTAACTCATTTAATGTAAACACAAACCTGCATCTGACAATTTCTATATATTATATCTATGGACCCAGGGGGTATTTTACTGAACACTTCTCTGGCTGCAGCATGCTTCTTCAAGGCTGTAGATATGTAACATGTATTAAAATAAAACTCTTCACATTCTCTTTTATAATCAAGTGTGAACAAATATGATGACACACACACACCCAGGCACACGCACAAAAAGAGATGCTTTAGACAAATGAGTGGTGTTTTCACTTTAACAAAAGATACAAAGCTTTATTTGTCAGAAAGTTGAAAGAAAGAATGCAACTGTTGGAAGCTCAATTAAAATTAAGACTCTTTCTTACTGTGGACTGAGTTGTACTTTTCTTTCTTAAACTCGACACTCTGTTATGCATTACCTATGAAGGTCCTCATGACGGCATTGGCCTGCCGTACAGCTTCTGCTCTCTGGGATGGATCAAACACCAGCCAATCAATTGCCTCTATCTTCTGATGGTCTTCCTACAACACACAACAAATACTGTAAATATTTGATAACAGGATTACTTTGACATACTAATCAGAATAGATGAGATGAATATGATAGCAACAGATACCTCATCTTACTTTGACATTTCAAAGAGAAAATGAAAGAAATGTAATCAAAACATGTAATTTCTAAGTCTTAAGAAACATCCTTCAATTTAGGATAAAAGTTTGTGCTTCACACACAGCCTACATAATGTGCTGAAATGACATTCACTGTTATCCCCATGTAATAGATATATAAAGCACAAACACACCTCTGTAGTGGCAGCTTCTAAAGCAGCATCCCGGTCAATCTTAAAATCAGGCCCCTTTGTTCTTATTTTCTCCACCACTAATTTGGTTATATTGGGAATGTCCAGTCCAGCTTCTTCAGCTAGTGCCAAACATTGCTGCCTGGCTTCCCTGTCCTCTATACCTGTAGTATAGGGAGGTATATGGTGTTGAATATGTGGCTTCAAATTGCTTATAGAGATGATTTTAGTTAAATTAATATCCATTTCGTAAACAGCACTCAAGTTTCACCTTTACATTTTATCAGTAGGGATAATTTTTTGAAAATCTAAATTTTTATTTGTGCTAAAATAAATGCAGTGGCTGCAGAATTTTTCAGTCCCTTAATCATGTTAGTCTTCTTGATAGTCTTCTTATGAAACAGGTATGTTATTACTTAGGTTGTCACTTTCAGCACCGACTCACAAATTAGGATAAAAGAAGCAGGTGCTCTCACCTTGTAAAAACCTAGCATACCACTCCAGCTGTAGGTCCTGAGGCAGAGTGGACACATAATGTGCAACCAGGGTGGTGTGTTTCTCCTCTATCAAACTCATCACATAGCTCTCTAGGATGAAAGTACACATCTCTTCCTGGAAAGAATGAACAAGAGTGAATAAAGGAAACAAAATATTGTCTACTTACAGAAAAGAGCGGTGTAACTAAATAATTGGTACATTTATATAAGAAAGATTGTCTCCTCAATAATTAGCCTAAGAAATAAAATGGACGAAAAACAAACATTTGGTGTAATAATATAGACTAAAACCAACTACTTCTTGCAGGACTTCTATAAGACAGGAATCAACACTTACTTTAGTGGTTTTTCCTATAGTCCTGAGGAAGAGTACCAAGTGTGCCATGAAGCGGATAAGATGGTGTGGAGGCTTAATGCCAGAGTTTGACAACCAGCTGTACATCTCTTCTATTAAACCTAAATAAACCAATACATTATCTGTTAGCCATAATCTAAACAAAAACAAATGGCAGTAATTTAATCAAATCTAAAAATGGGAAAAAATGACATCAGGCATACACTTTCATCTCAATAACAAGCACAGTGAGTGAGAAAATACATTCATTATTCATTTAATAACATTCTTCACAAAAATTCAGACAATGCATCTCTATGAAATTAATGAAAAATAAGTTTAAGGGTTACAACCCACGTTTTCAATCAGACATTTTGACATCCCTGCTGTTTTACCTAGCATCTTACCTGGCACATCATCTAGTATGATATACTTCTGAATTATATGGTATTTTTCATTTGCCTCCAATCTGACCTCCTGAAACATTTTTGCAACAGCAGATTAAGAGACACCAATAACATTTTATGTTCTGGGTTTGCACAAAGCCCCATAAAAATTTTGACTCAAAAATGTTATCTGCTAATAAACAGGAATATTTCTTGCATTTGGAATAATATATGCTAAGGAGTTAAGAATATCTACAGATCAATGCACATAAATGAATATTTTCACCATTCTTGCTGATAAAGACCTGCAATTCTAATGTGCATTGACAATAACCTGAACTCATAAATATAATCAATATATGAACATATGTTATATAAATGAAAGCCTGGTGATAACAGCATCACTGTATTTATACATGCTACAGAAATATTTTTTTCAAAAAGGATCAAAACTTACATCATTGTCACTTGCTTGAATTTCTTGAAATATTGCCTGTGGTGTTAGCCTAATGAAAAAAAAATGTTCATCATTAAGTCCTGAAAGTAACCATTCCAATTATGCTATTAAAACCAATAAAATTTTCAAATTCTCCCCCCCCCCCAAAAAAAAAAAAAAAATATATATATATATATATAAAATAAATAAATAAATAAATAAATAAATAAATAAATAAATAAAATAAAAATATAGTCGAGTTTCTGTTGCTTATGGTCTTTCCCAAGTATGCACTACCATCTTAAGATAAAAATAAGTATTTCAGTTTGTACCATTATAAAAATTCTTAACCTTACTCTGTGCATCCTCTTAAAATATACTTAAGAGGGAAATGCCATCCAAAAGATAGGCTCCTAAATCCTTTTTGATGACATGTGCTCTCATATGGAAAAAAAATCTTAACATAAACAGCTACTACAGCAGTTCAATAACAAAATAAGAATGTTTTATGCTAAGAATTACACTCTTATATATCATTTTTCAAATAATAATGTAACATGCATTTTATCCCAGAAGGCTCCCGGCAGCTGCTCCAGAGGTCTGTCAGTCATAGTGGCCACTCTGATCTCCTGCTCCACCCTGGCATCCACCATACACTTGAAGTAGGCCCACAGGCAATCTTCCCATGTCTCACAGGCAGGAAGGAGCTCTTTTAGGTTACCACTAAGTGCTGCATATGTGGCTTTCTCATACAGGTTAAATCTGTCCTGTAGGCACATTAATACAAATGATATCAAAACCTATGCAAATGTGGCCTTCTCAGAAAAAAAAAATGTCGTTTAAGTGATTTTTAAGCTTCTACTGTTATTCAGGGCTGCATATGATAAAAAAGATTGTTTTGTTTTTATGGAAAAATACTTAAACATTTTTATTTTCAATTTTGTATATAAGTTAACTATGCAAATGCTGCAAAATGTGCACTTACTATGAAATGTGGTGGTAGCCTCATTTTTTTTATTAAAGCAATCAATATTTTTGATGGTAAAAAGGGAGCAATATTTGCTATTCATGAAATATTTGCTATTCAATAAACAAACAAACAAACAAATACATACATTAAAACCTTCTTTGACCCTTTGAAAATTATAGTTGACATTAAAGAGAAACATCACCTGGCAATGCTCCATCTCTTACCTCCTGTGCCATCCTCCAACACACTGCCTTCCACACATCTCTGTATGGATTCCCCTCCACAGCAGAGACCTCACCCCCTGGGCCTAGGCTGTGGTAATTGGGATCATGGTACAGTCTCCACCCCTCCAGAGTAGCTGCCCTCCATGCCTGGCCACACTTTGAGCACAGACGCTGAGCCTAAAGTCAAAATAGGAAAGTGTTTTATAATATTACTAAAGGGTCATAGAAGAATATATATATAATTGTTTTATCAAAATATTGAATTCTATGATGAAGCTAGAAGAAATGGAGACAATCAAATATCGTTTTCTTTTCCACTGCAATGTAAAACTTCAAGTGAGGTATATTTATTTGACATTATGAGGAAAAGTTACTTTTCACAATTCATCATTCAGATTGCTACAATTCAATTTTTTAACATGGCTGCATATCTATTCATTCCATCAAACGACAAGAGCACAATAAGAAATGAAAAATCTTTTTGAAATGCCATGACTTTGCAGTGTGTGTGTGAAAATTTCACTAAATTACCTCATCTAATTGCCCAGCCCTGATATAAACAAAGATGTATTTAAGTAAACGACCCTCGTCTTCCTGGTCAAGATCAGCTAGAGGTCGTTTCTGTCTGACTGGAGCATCAGGGTCCTAAGATCAACAAATGACAAGCTATTCAATCTAAATGTGCAAATTTACAATGAACATCAGAGGAGCAAGCATTACAAATATTCAATCTATGCTTATATGACCAGTCAAAAAAATCCATGACGTAAAAATTCCAAAACAATATGACATAATTTCTCTGTCCCTGATGGACAGTGAAAATACTTTTAAGTTCTAAACTGAGATAATTTTCAGATATTTTTCCCCTCACCATTTTATCCACAATTGGTCTGTCGTAGCCTGCTGGAACAGCCCCAGCTCTTTGCTGTAAGGAATGAAGTGTGTTCTCCCTGAAAATATAGTTTTAGTTAGCAACAACATTTTACATAATCCTTCATTAGGTCTACCTTGTGTTCAAGACTTGATTCAAACCTATAAATTGAATGAAAATGCTTAATTCACTTTGCATTGAGATAAAATACAGCAAGAAAATATATTATTCATTATTTCACATTTTCAATAGCACCACAGTTCTGAAACACTAGTATGTTTCGCAAACCTACCATGTAACAGACTGGTCTGAAAAGAACTCCACTTTGTCATAATAGTTTTCCAGCTCTCCAGCAGCCACTTGTTCTAACCAGTCAATCACCAGCTGACCCTGCCTTAAACTGTGGTCTGTCTCATATAGTCTGTCCACGATTTCTTTCTCACTCATCTTTTTTCCCTGTGTTGGAAGATTTTCAATAATCAAATCTTCCAATAACAATTTTGTATAACAACCAGGTGTGACAGTCACTAATCATATTTTCATTTTAATTAAACTTAAATTTTACTATGTCTAGTAAAAAAACCACATGATCAATAAATATGTACTAAGCAAATGCAAAATACTCTGCTTTACCTAGGCAAAGTAAATATGCATAATCACAAATACAATTTGATGGACAGGAAGTATGCTACTGACCAGTTGGTCCACTATCATATCCTCCTGATCCCCCTTGACCTCAGTTTCCAGGCGGTCTCGAAACAGAGACCCAACCAAAGCCCATGTGTTCTTCTCCTGTTCAAGTATATTCAACACATCTATGGTTTTAGTGAATCTACAAATAAAATGAGATAAATTGAAATTTTTAACAATGCTAGTTTCAATATACACTATAGCAATAGAAAAATACTATATGATTCAAGAGAGACAGTTTCATTCAAGATTTACTTTAATCCATATGTGTTTGTGGAAGCCAGGGTTCTATCATTAATAAAAATAGTTATTTTATTACAGCATTTGTTAACATCGCCTTTTCAACCTGCAATTATCTAATTAAACATAATTTAACATAATTACACAAGGTTTAGTATGAAAAAATTATAAGAAAAATAAATTTCTCTCATACATCTCACTACATCAACCTTTGTGCAAAGAAGCACTTACCTAGAATGCCCAGGAGTGGCTCTGTTAATTAATTTCTTAAGCAGAACAACTTGTTCACTGCAGACCTGTGTATAGCTCTTTATCAGATCAAACACCTGAGGTTCTGCAGGGTGATCTTTGACAGCCTGGAGAAAATCCCCAAATAACCCTGTTGATGCTGAAATATTTCATACAAATCACACATAAGTCACTGGTACAATGATATAACAAGAGAATAGCGACAGTCGATAATAAAACAACGAAGTAAAAATTCAATACATCTGAGTGTCACTTGAAAATATCACATGCTTAGAGTGTGGAATAAGAAGTTTCATTTTTAGAATATTTAGTTACCTGCAAGTCCTGGATCTTCCTCAAGAAGCAAGGCGACATTGGTGGTGGTAATGTCCTCATCCATACCATGAGGCTATAGAGAAAAAAAAAATCCACAAAATTACGTCAGTTTAGGACAAGAGCTATTGAATCTCACTCAGGAGACAAAGAATGTTTAATGAGATTACAAAGGTTACCAGAAAAAATTCTATTCACAAGGTCACCCAAAACTTCTTGCCACCTCTTTTAAGAATATTGCATCAAAGAATTTTGAATGGTGATTTTCACACTGTCTTATTCATGAAAGATAAAGAGATTAAATAAGCTTAAAGGAAAAAAAAAAGTTGGACTAAGGTTAAAAAATCAAATGATCTTTTTTTTTAAGTTTCAAGACTTACCTCTTGAGCACCAGTTCGTAATGGAGTGAAGCCCAAGCTGTCACTGAAACTTTCACCTACTCTAGATATCTAAACAATAGAAAATTATAAAATCATTTACAGATCAAAATAAGAGTAAGAATAGCAATAATGCAAAATTATATATAAATTCTTGATCAAAAGAAATTGCTAGGGTGTCATATTAAAATAGATGTGAAAATTTCTCACAGATCTCTACAAGACTGTATTTAATTTGTATCACACTGTCAAAATATACCAATAAGATAACAACATACCTGTGAGAGGGACATAGGAGTCCCCATCATCATGGACTGTCCTGGTGTGGCACCAAGTGTGGCAGAGACATCAAACTTGGCAGATGTAGGAATGGGCTTAGGAGTGTCTAATGATAAATGACATAAAAGATACTAGGTGCAATCTGTCTGTGTACAGTTAGTGCACTGCTAAATTACTTAATTTATACTTATTCTGATTCTTTGTTTTATATGATCAGCAATAAAAGTAATGACATGTGAAAAGCCAGAAATAATGGCTAACATTTGACTACACTCTTTAGCACACATATGTGCACGCATGATAGCATGTATATGTGTGAATACTCTTCTTGGTGTATACTTAAACAATTTTTATTTTGATAAAATGTTCCTAACAAATAAAATCCTTTACTTTAAGTCTTATTTTCACCTTGGTAACACAACTACCTGAAAATAAGATGTTTACAAAGGTAAACTTACATGAGCTATGTTTAAGGGGAGTTTTCCTGGCAGATCTAAGCAGAGGCCCAGGAGTCCCCACAGCCTCATCAAGCAACTGTAAAGCTGGAAAATACTTGGTCAAAGATATAACTATGAAACCTACACCCATACTGGTTTATTTGTTTTAAACTCTGTTCAATTATGTTGACAGTCTAATTTCATGTTCTTATACAATGACTGTGCAGAATGCAAATTTTTATATCCCTTTAAAATATTTAGGTGTTTGTAATGAAAGTAAGAGCATTTATATTTAATTATTCCTAGTCTTATCAGGTGATAGTAGAATATGTAACATTTTTTTCTCAACATAAAGGATACATCTCTGTACATTAACATTAGCACTTCTCTGTTGACTTCTTGTTTTTGGCGACTGATTTTCTGTTAGCAGAGTTCCAAATGACTGTCTGTTTGAGCTATTAAGAAAAGAGAATCAATTTACCTAGTACCACCTTGGAAAAGAAAGACAACTATTTAACTAAGATATTTTACTTATTTAATTTTTTTAAAGAGTATTAAATGAGAGCTCTTGTTTATTCATAATCACACTTTTACGTGTTTTCTTTAATTAAAGTGAAAAACAAGGAGCCCTATATATGTATAAATATACAGTTGGTGGAAATTTGAGCAATAATATATATATATATATATATATATATATATATATATATATATATATATATATATATATATATATATATATATATATCCACCAACATAATAACCTTTGCTCAGGTAATCTTTGCCATTATAGGTTTGATAGTTAACGGCCTAACTAAAAAAATATGGTTGGTTTTTGCTAAATTTCAGAATATGTCAGAAATGGGTTAACATATAAGCAATAAGATTTTGGTGGTGATCCATTAACTTATGAATAAAAATAACAATTGAGTTGCCTTGGCAGGAGATCTGCACCAACTGATTGCTTTTTTAAATTAATTTGCTGTTCAGTAGGATACAGTATGTTCATCTGATACTCACCCTTCATTTCTCAGCTGCCTTCTTCTGTCAACATTTCTGTTCATTTCTTCTGGGTCAAACTGTCCTGCAGCCTGGCGCTGGGAGTACTGAAGTGAGAATTGATTTTTAGGTCATGCTATAATGCCCAATACATCACAATGGTACACTGGAGAAAATGACTGTTGATACAACTACAAATCTGTATGGTTTGTTTATAAATTGGCAGGTCACCCTCCAATCAGACATTTAAGAAGAGGCACGAGGATTTATACAGTACATGATTTATATTGATAGTCAGTAATATATTTCAGTATCATCTCATCCTTTTTCTTGCAAATGATCATTTGCAGCATTTCCTGGCCTCCGGATTTCTTTTCTCTAGTGAACTGCACTGTACTGAACACTTTAGTATGATCATTGATTATAGAAGATTAACGTTTGGCAATTCTTTAGACCTTGTGAGTACTCTCTTCGATGTAAATTAAACAAATATATACTGTATATCTTTATTATATACTTAGAATTCAATGTACTATAATATCAAAACCTTTTTAGTAGTTGCATACTGAAATTTTCACAGAAGTGTAAACTATAAAGTGTCTATGAAGTTCGTGTCTACCGGTTTAAGATGCAACAAAATTAAACAGCATGTTTTCCACTTACAACCCATATATCGGCTATAGTGTTATCTGGGGCTTCCGAAGAAAACCGACCCGATTTTCTTGTTCCCGAAGCCATGTCTTTTTAACCCCTTTATGTGTTCTTTTCACTTAGCATTCCCGCCGACAGGAAGAAATCATTTTAGTGAAACCTCGTGACCTCGCGTTTTCAAGGCCGTTTACGGGAATTAAGCTAGAGTTGTTAATTTTGGGTTTACGATACTTAAAGCTTGATTAATGGTAAGCCCTATGTGAAAAATCTTACTTACCATTAGTTTTCTTATTTTTAAGTGTTTATTGAATGAAGCGTCTTCTTTCACTTTAAATCACCTTTTGCTTTCAGTTCGTCTGCTGTTAATCTCGTTTGTAAAACAAATATGTCTGCCCCCAGCAAAAAGCGTGCGCTTGCGGAAGACAAAAATGTCAGTGGAAATGAAGCAGAAGGTGACGATGAAGAAGATATGGAAGATGATTTCTGGTCTGGAGATGATGGTGACGACCTAGATGAAGAGGAAAAACAGTTCATCAACCAGGTATATTTAAATTATGAAATATTCACCTCCCACAGTATCAGCACGTGTCACTTAGTTGAGACTTAGTATCCGACCCCCATCCCCCAATAGGTCTTTGGCGTCTTCTAAATTACGGTATTTGGTGTCTTTGAACAATGCCCCTTTTATTCTACTGATGATTTTGAAGCTGTGTGTATGGGGGCGTCTCGATAGTCCGAAGTTTCATTGGTCCGAAGGTTCACTGGTCCGAAAAGTGGTAACATTTTCATTTATTTTTTAATCAAGGGTTCATTAGTCCGAAGGTTCTATAGTGAACATTCGGACCAATAAACCGTCGAACTATTGAACCTTCGGACTATTGCTACGGCCCTGCAAAATTACTAAATTCAATTTCAGTGCCCTAGACTGCTTGATGATTCTCATATAAAATTTTTTAAACATAAAGACTTTTGTATTTATATTAAATTATATATTTGCTTTACAGGAAGTTCAGGTCGAATTTGAAGCTCGTAATGCTGAAGACAGTGATTTCCATGGGATACGACAGCTTTTACAACAGGTATTAAATAAACCGTATAATGGAACAATAAGTGTTATAGTAGCATTATTTTATTTTAAATGAAGCCTTAACACTTAAGAAGACAGACTTGGTATTTTCACTCTGTTTATCTGCAGATACCAAAAACAGTATACCATTGTTTCATTTTATAATGCGAAAGACTTTTTGTATTTCAGGTGTATCTGAAAGCAAACAGCAATCTTGCAGAATTTGCTGGTATTTTCACTCTTTTTTTTCTGCAGATACTTAAAGCTGCAGTACACCATTGCTTCACTTTGTAATGCATAATATTTTGTTTCTATATACAGGTGTATCTAAAAGCAAACATCAATCTCTCAGAATTGGCTGATATGATCATTGCACAGAATTATGTTGGAAGTGTAATAAAGGTGAGTGCTTACTAAAAGAGCATTTTTACTAAGCAACAGCTTGAAAATTAGCATTGTCATATTTAACTTTCTAAATTTAATTATGACTGTATACTTAAAAATAGTGAAAAAAGTAAAACTTCAATTGAGAAACACAAAACAAATGTTTTTGCACAGGAAATATATGTACATGTTTATATACTTTTAGCAAGTAGACGTACCAGAGGAAGATGACAGTGACAGTGATGATGGGGATGATGTATTTGGGGTTATTTCAGCAATCAACCTGACTGAGAAAAAGGTGATATTTTCTGATACATATTTGAATAGACCTTTATTATTATTCTTTTGGCCGTAGGTGTGTTTCATTGTAAATCAGGCTTTGCCATTTCCATTCTTATTTATATAGAATATGCTCAGTTTTAATAATAACGATGCAAATTGTATACATTTCTTTCATGTTACCCATCAATAAATTTCATGCCAATTTCATTGCCATAATTTTAATCACTGAAATCACTATGTCTTAGGATGCTGAGAGTGTGCGGCAGCTCCACTCCTACCTCCTTGGAAAGTGTCAGGCATGTGAACAGAAACAGCAGCAGTACTTCAAAGCTCTCTTAGAGGACCCTAACAAACAAGTGGGCTACCTAGTTAATGAGAGACTGATCAATATACCACCACAGATAGCTACACCAATGTTCCAAAGTTTAAAGTATGTAACACTAGTAATCATTCAATATGGGTCCAGTTATATATGGACAGCTCACAATGTCATTTTGGTTAGTTGGGTGTGAAATGTGAAATTAATTTTTAGCAAACAAAATCACATGTTGCGAAGTTAATTGTTAATGTATGTTAAAAAACCTGTCCAAGGCTTTAATTATTACATATTAGTGTTTGCATGTGTGTGTGTGTGTGTGGGGGGGGGGGGGTAATTTGGTTGATGTTAATTCAAATAATAACAGAGCTCTAGTGATATCCACTAACAGAGCTCTGGTGTTAATCATAATAAAATTTTTCAAATGTTTGTCTTGCTGAAACACGAGTCTCAGTTATGTGCATGGTTTGAATTTTCCAGAAAAGAAATGGAGAGAGCTGTAAAGAAGAAAATGAAATACAGTTTTGATTACTTTTTGATGGTAGCAAAGACATACAAAACCAAGCCTTCAAATCAGAAGAAAAAAGGCAAAAATAAAACACAAACACCAGACGAAATAACATTTCTTAATCCGGAGGAAGAATTGTTTAGTGAGGTAAATTTTTTTTACAAAAAATTAAAAAATTAAATTAAATTAAGGGAAATTTTAAGTGTTGCTGGTGGTGGAAAAGGAATAAGAATGCATATTTGTTTTGGGTTAAGGCCAGGATATAGCCTTTATTTTAAAATATTATGATTGTCAGTTCATTCAGATAGAAGATACCCATGTCAAAAGAGCTGTTATATAATATTTATCACCATATTAGGAGAAAAAGTATTTCTGATGGCAACAGTGTCATGCCAACTCATGTTACAGTAATAATTGTTGTTTTGTTGACTTTACTTCAAGGAGTCTGTGTTGTCATTTGACTACTCTGTGGCCAGTGAGCGTGATGGTGTGGTAGGTGGACAGTGGGATGATGAAGAGGAAGAGTTTGAACCATTCCGACGAGTTATGTTCATACCAGGGGACAAGCTGGACTCCTTAATCATCAAAGTACAGCAGACTTTTGGGGGAAGTTGAAGCTGAGGATTTATATGAGAATAATTCAATTTTAATTTAATTCAATTTAAGCTAATCAATTTCTTGTTAAGCTGTTGTTTGCTTTAATTGTATGTTCATGGCATTCATACATATATACCAATGGCTAACTTGTATCACTGAAGTTTTTTTTTTAAAGAACTGGTGCAAATACCTGAAGTGTAATATCATGGGATAAAGGAAATAATATAATATGCTATAGGAAAAATCAGTTTGTATAATTACTATGGATTGCATTAGTAGTAATGTAGTTGCATGTGTAAGCTGATAAAAAAGCAGGATCATGTTCTTGAACTTGAGGAAAATTAGAGTTTATTTTGTCCAAATGTTTTACAATTCCACGTGGAAAACTAGCTGGTATTCTCAAGGCTATTGAAAAGTTTTTAACTAAAAAATGCTATTCAAAGTGAATTTTGGATGCATATTAGGCCATAGTATGGGACCTTATCCACCAATGATTATATCTGCTCAGCAAGATACACAATGGTCTATCTTCTGATGCCTTTTTTTTTCAAATTTAAGCACTTAACAGAGCTCTATAGAGCATTTCCTCCAGAGTAGGAATGGGAATGTCTTCCCTTTTCACAGCCGTGTTGGCAACACACATGTCTACACCAAGTCTAATGTCATTCTCTCCTTCAGGGACAAGTACCACAGGTGATACCCATGATGACGAACCTGTCGCTTTCCCAATTATGTCACAGTTTTCTAGTTCATCCTAATTCTTTTCCAATCGATCACAAAGAGCAAAAGGAATTCTTCACAGCTGCTGTGCCACTGGTGTAACACTCTCGTCAATGGGAATTTCAATTTTTCAATTCTTCCATTTTTCCAGTTCTTCAAAAAAGCATTCGTATAGATTGGAGAATAACTGCATTTGCTTTGTCTTCTAGTGATATGGGCAGTTTTTCTCTAGTGAGAACTTGAGGCAACTGTATTCTGCAGTTTTCTTCTAAGACTGCTGGTTGTTTTTCATTGCGTAAAGTGGTCAGTGTAGTGTTGTTTCACTTCCTGACTCTCCTAGCTTCTCCATTAACTCAGTGCAAAAGGTGGTGTTTAACCCACCATCCAATAGAGCATATGTCAGCACTTGTTTCCTCCCATGCACATACTTAACCTTGACTGGTGCTATGAGAAGGCCTACTGTAGTTTCTTCATTTCCTACATGCAGTTGTCTATGCATCTCCTGTTTTATAAAAATATGAGACACAAGGTTCAAAACAAGGGACACATCATGAATGACATTTTTTATTTCCATAAAACAAGTTTTATTTCTTAAAAAAAAATGCACCTTAGTCAAAATCCTGAGAAGAGGTCCATTTAGTTTTGTGGTTATCAACATTTGTAAATTTTAATAATAATAATAATAAAACACTTCTTTAAAACCGCGCTACACATGCGTCTCAGCGCTGTTTACATAAAAAATATAACTCCACAGATAAATTAAAGCCAGTATAGACTAAAAACAGAATACTTAAAAATTTTAAAAACTAAAAAGATGCTATAAATTAAAGTATTCTTTAAATAAAAAAGTTTTTAAATTCTTGTTAAAACAGTAATATGAGTCATCCAGAGACACATTAGATCTTGTGATAAAATTAGACCATAGAATCGGTGCACAAATCTCGAAACTTCTGTGTCCATATGCCTTAAGAGTCTTTTTAGTGTCTTTTCGCTTAAGTTGAAGTTGTCCACTAGATTGAAGTGATCTGATAGGAGTTTAAAGTTCTATGGTAGAGTTTAAGTAAAATGGACAGTCGCCCTTTAAAATCTTAAAAGTCTAAAGTAACATTTTAAAAACTATTCGTTGAGACATGGGTAGCCAGTGGAGGTTTCGCAGAATTGGTGTGATGTGGTCGGACTTCTGAGCTTTACAGAGGAGACGAGCAGCAGAGTTCTGAATTGATTGTAGCTTTTCCATTTGATAGTTAGGTATTCCAAACAATAGGCTATTGCAATAATCCAGTCTAGAGGTTACAAATGCATGGATGAGAAATTCAGTTTGCTTGGTGTTAATAAGGTGAAAGATCTTGGATATCCGTTGGAGACTAAAATATGCTGTTTTACATACTTTGTTAATGTGTGATGTCATTTCACATTTGTTATTAAAAATAACACCCAAGTTCCTTACTTCTGTTGTTGGTTTTATAAAAGAATCCCCAACTCTAATACTATCAAGTGCAGTATTGTCTTTGGAAAACTTAAAGTTGAAATGGACTAATTCAATCAGTTTTTTCATCATTAAAAACTAAGTAGTTGGACTTGAGCCAAGATCTAAGTTCATTCACACAAGCCTCAATAGTTGCTTTTTCATCACAAGGATTTTCACATATAACATATAACTGGGAATCATCTGCATACAACATCAAATTGAAACCAAACTGAGCAACTATATCCTCAATTGGTGAGGTGTAGAGTGTAAACAATATAGGACCAAGCACGGAGCCTTGTGGCACACCATAAAGTAATTTGCTTAATTTTGAAATAGAAGAGCCTATGCATACATGTTGCTCGCGTCCAGTTAGATAAGACCGAAACCAGGAGAGAACTGTCCCAGTTATCCCAAAACGGTGTGCAAGTCGTTGGAGCAATATGTCGTGATCGAGAGTATCGAAAGCTGCCGATAGATCAAGTAGAATCAATATCACATGTTTCTGATCATTCAGGGCTTGGAGAATGTCATTCTGCACCTTAAGAAGGGCTGTTTCTGTACTGTGGTTTGGTCTATATGCAGACTGGCATTTTGCATATAAGGAAAAACTGCTCAAATAGTCATTTAATTGGCTTGCAACAATACGTTCCAAGAGTTTGGAAAGAAATGACAGATTCGAGATTGGTCGATAGTTTTTTAGGACATTAGAATTAAGGTCTGCCTTCTTTATCAGTGGTCTTATCACTGCCTTCTTAAAGCACAGAGGGACTTTTCCAGTTTCCAGTGATTTGTTCACAAGTTGGGTTAGAAAAGGTACAAGTTCATCAATATTTTCTACAATCAGTGCTGGAGGTAAAATATCAAGAATGGACGACGTTGGCTTTGCTTTCTTCACAAACTTCTTGACTGTATTCAATGAAACAGTAGTGAACTTATGGAAAGAGTATGGACACAAGCGATCAGTTGAAGCTGTAGATAAGGATTTGTCTATACAGTTCCTGAGGTCAGTAACTTTCTTCTCAAAGTAATTGAGAAAAATGTTACCAAGATCACTTTCAAAATATAATGTAGGTTTAATGCTAGATGGTGCTTTCTTTGTGTCTGTAAGCTCATCCACAATTGAAAAAAGGCCATTGACATCAGAGTTATCAATGCGATTTCGATGATAAGATGATTTGATATCATCTGCTCTTCGACAGTATTCTAGACGTTTACCCTTGAATATCTGGTGATGTACTTCCAGACCACTGCTTTTCCACTGACGTTCAGCTTTCCTCACAGTTTTGCGTAGCTCAGAGAGCTCAAGACAAAACCATGGTGCTCTGGGTTTTTGAGAAACAAGTACAGTCTTTACCGGAGCAATTTCATCTAGAATAGATTCCACTGAGTGTGTGTAGTAATCACACAGGTAATCAACATCACCATCAACACAGTGTTCGTTAAAGGCAGAGAAAAGTTTTGCTTTTAAGACGGAGGGAATAATTTCCTTTAGATTGCGACGTGAGGTTTTGACTTTCACTGGCGGCGGCTTGGACACATTGACTGAGAAATTAATCAAACTATGATCTGATTGAAGACTATCGCTTACTTCAACTGAGGTAATGAAATTTTCCTCAGAAGCTCGGGTGATAATTAAGTCCAATGTATGGCCTTTTTGGTGTGTTGGTTTATGCACATGCTGCTTGAGATTTCTGGAAAGCAGAATGTCAGATAGATGTAAAGCATCTCTGGATTGTTTGTTATCGACATGGATGTTAAAATCGCCTGCGATGAGTAGATGACCTGAAGCTGTAATAGCAGTTTCTAAAATGGATGAAAATTCTGTGAAGAAGTTCTGCATGCCTCCTTCAAGGTTCTTTATATTGGGTGGGCGGTAAACCAAAATTGATCGGAAAATTTCACTTCCTGATCTAAAGGCAAGATCTAGTAATTCAGGAGATTTAAAGGAATGTTTTTCTCTCCTAAACATTTTGAGATTTGAGCGTGCTAGAACAGCAACTCCATCACCTCTCTTTCCAGTTCTGCATTCTTGATAGAGAGAATATCCAGATATACTGGAGTTTAGCTCGGAGATTATTGGATCATTGTTTGATTTTATCCAGGTTTCTGTAAGAAAAATTATGTCCAAGTCGTCTTCATGAATATGCAAGACCAAACTAGATACTTTGCTGGCTATGGAACGAGCGTTCCACAAAGCACAGATCAGTCTATTTCTGAGACTGCTTTTGATTATATTTTGAGCACTGAAGCCACGTTCTACATCTGCAGTATGAACTGGGAGGGCAAGTGCTATGCCAGCCAATTTGCACAAGTTAGGGAAATCGTCCTCATGAAATAAGTTGATTATTGCCCAGAGTTCTTTCATACTGTCACCTGTTTCTGTTTCATCGAGGTGAGAGCAGAGAGCCTGGTGTTGGTCATTCTATTCCTCATGTGTGTCTTTAACAATCTCAACACAGAGATAGATCTTTCTGCTTCAGTAGAAGTTATAGGTAATGTACATGTACGCCCCATAGGTGACTCTGGCTTCATAGTGACATGCGTTCCACAGCAATTTACACACCATCCATGGGGACTTGGGCCAGACAACTCTTTGAGAATACTTTAAGGCTCTAACAAAACTTTGTATTCCTTTATTAGTAAAGTATGTCAAACATGACAAAAGTCAAACAACACTGATTCAGACAACATCAGCATTATTTGTCAATTGCTGAGATCAGCAGAAGCAAGAGGTCATTTTTAGTGTGTTTTTTTAGAAACTCAAGAGGGGAGTTAAGACCCACCCTCTACCAAATCCACCACTGAGGTGATAAGCGGATATGCTGTTGCCTTTTGACAACATAAGCAAAACATACTATAAGGGTAAAGTGAAAATTTAAGAAAAAATACTTCAAAATGTACTAGCATTATGTTGTTGACATCCAGACATATAAAAACATTGTAGATAATTTGTTTATTGAAGCCATCGTAACTTGACACTTTGCCAAATACCGTTTTTCCCGTGACACAGTTGTCCACTATAGATGAACTATGTTTTCTGAATATTGTCCCCTTGGAAATATCTATTATAATAGCTTTTACAGATTTCTGCCAAACACACCAGTGACGTAGTGACCTGCATTCAGTATAAGACACCTGTAGGCCCTAAGCGAAGTCTGAGCAAACTTGCTGCCAAATTATGAAAGTGGACACCTTCCAGACCTTCACACAACATCTGACAGCACTGACAGACAATAAGGCAATTTTCATATCTATAGCGGGAGATCATTGGCACTCTGAATGAGATGAGAAACCAATTTTCATGTTCGTTCAGGAAACTTTGTTAGCAAAAAATTGTCAGCGGGAGATTGTTCGGGGTTTAGGGAGATGAGATGACAATTTTTATGATCCTAACGACTGATCCTTGCGAGTGGCTGTCTGACTGGCAGGTGGAGGGGGGACGGAATGCTCTTCCTCATCACTAGCCTTTCCCATCTGGAAGAAACATTCATTGTCATCCTCCTGAAATTTACACATTACATTCTGTTTTTTTTTTTTACTCCCTCATGTCTCGTCTTTACAATTACATGTATGATGGAAAATGATTTCTTATTTGAGGTCTGACATTTTCTTGACACATTAAGTTGAAAATCGTTTTCCTCAACCTACATCACATATGTTGAAATGGATTTTAAAAAATGGTTCATAACACATCAAGGAAATAATCCAATTCATGATTAACTATTACCCTTTCACAATTACGTGGCCTCTCATAATTGTCCTGTTTTTTCAGGAGGAGATCTCTTGGTAACTGCTTGGTAAAGTGCTTATTAATAATGCCTGCTATGTTCTTAACACGGGCATTTAAAAAATATGCAGTGGAAAAATGTGAAATAAATATGTTTGGTGTACTTACGGTTTGAGTCCAGCTCTTTTGACAGGCCTGCCAACAGGTTATCCTTATGCACCTGGTTTGGGTAATTTGGGTGTGGTTTGTTATAAAAACAATCATTTGCGAAGAATTCCACCAACTTCTCCTTCTTACTTGCACTAAAAGAATACGAAACTTGCTTGTTCTGCACAACCTGTTCCATTAATTGCTGAAATATGCCCGGGGCTGACGCAATTCCATAACAAAGTCGGGTGTAGGCGAAGAGTCCTTTGGTAGTGTTAATGGTAGTCAACAGCTGAGAGTCCGGGTGAAGGCAAATTTGCTGGTAGGCATGACTCAGGTCAAGCTTTGAGTAGTACTGACCTCCAGATAGACTGGCATACAAGTCGTCAATACTGGGAATTTGATATCGTTCCACTCTGGACGCTGTGTTAATGGTCAGCTTATAATCACCACAAATGCGAATTTCTCCATTGGGTTTCAAGACCGGAACAATGGGTGTGGCCCAGTCAGAGTGTTGTACTGGACGTAAAACTCCATCAGCCACAAGGCGTTCAAGCTCAGCCTCCACCTTGCCTTTCATAGCCAGTGGGACTGGACGTGGCCTACAGTATACAGGAACAGACAGCGTTTTCATCAACATGAAATTTGGCATCCATGTTATTTAACTTCCCAAGTCCATCACTGAATAGTTGTGGGAATTTTGCAGTGTAGTCTTCTTTGGACACCATGAATATAGGTGACCAATGCAAGGCAATAGCTTGTATCCAGTCACGCCCCAACAGATTGGGACTGGATCCTTGTACCACATAGCAGGGCAGGCTGTATGTATTCTCTTCATAGCTGACAGGTACTATGACTTGGCCCAGTGGTTTGATGATACCACCTGAATAGGTCACTAAATTGGTAGCGTTATCCTTCCGCATTTTATTCAAGAGTGGAACACATTTGATGGTCATAGTCTGAGCATTACTTGAACTAAGGATAGTTACTGAAGCACCGGTGTCAATCTGTAGCTCTGATGGCGAGTCTCCGATGACAAACTTGCAAGTAAAGGGTGGTGTGCTAAGTTTGGTTTTGTTTGTTGAGTATAAAAACTAGTAGATCAGGGTCTCAGGAACAGATGTGGCCTGCGGTTGATGAGGGAGTGTCTCTAGCTGAGGATTAGCTTGGGCTTGTAGTGTGCCATCTGACTGTACATAGTTATTGGTGAGTAACAGTGCTCTACATACCCTTTTGAAATGATTATACTCTTGTTGCAGTGGCGACACTGTTGACAGGGTTCATACAGATGATTTGAAATGAAATTCAAGGACTTTTCAAGGTTTTTTCCAGGGTCATATATTCAAAATTCAAGGACTAATTTACACTGAAATTGTTAGTTATATATTCAATTTTCATGAAACAATACATTAAGTAAAATTTTGGTATTTCATATTGTTAAATAACATTCAAACAAAACAATTCATATCTTGAAACATTTTATTGATACACTATTCTTTGTCAATATTTCACGTAATTCATATAGTCCGTACCACCCTGTATATGCATTTGTTTTTTTACATATTTTTCATCTCAATTATTTTGTTTTCCAATTCTTTTTCTATTTCTTTTAAAGTTTCCTTTTTTTCTGAGGCAGATCTCCTGAGGCTGTTTGACTTAGAAATCATTGACAGGCTGCTGCACATCTCAGCCTTCTGTGCATATTTGTCTGCAGACTTAAGCAATTCACAAATGTCATCTTCCATGTGTTTTTTCTTTTTTTAATTTCATCAATGTCTTCCATTACAGACTTTCTTTTCTTTTTTTTGCCATCCTCTTCAGCTTGCTTTCTTTTTCCCTCTAAGTAATTCTGATATCTTTGTCTAGCACTCCCTGCAGACAACAGTAAGGCTGTTGTAACTGGGACATTGCTTAATCCTCCTAATGAATGGACATGGCCGCATATCACTCTAAGTGAAACATAGCTCTCTTCTTTAAGATTTTCAGTCTCTATTGTTCTATTGACTGAAAAGCCCCTTTCATAACACTTGCTTGTCCATGAGACAAAAGCAACAACACCTTGACCACACCCCACAGTTTATTGTAGCTGTCAGAGGATGCCATCATTTCATACAAGAGTTAGTCAACTCTATCACTAACTGGATCAAAGTCCTTAAATCGTGAAATAGATCTAGGCACATCTTGTAAAAACTGCACATACTGGTATATGTCATCACAGTCATTTTCACTAATGCGCTTGCTTTCAACAAGGAGAGTAAGTAGTCTTGTCATTTTCTTCTTCATCTCCTCAATAAGACTTATTCAGTTCCTCAATTTCCTCGAAAGTGTCCATTCTTTTTCTCTTTTCCGTCTCAGATTTTTTCTCTCTCTCTTTTTATCCAAATAAACCTCATATTTTTGCCTGGAAGAGGCTGCAGATGCAAGAACTGCATTTGTAATAGGTACTTGTAGGATCCCACCCATCGCTTTAAGATGATCACACACTATTCTCTGTGCAACAAGTCTTTCATCTCCTAAATTTTCAACCTCTATTTCTTTATTGACAGAAAAACCCCTTTCAACATTTGCCTAGCCATGTGACAGAACCAGAAGTAATTTGAACACTTCAAGCAATTTGGAGTAAGAATCATCATTTAATACATGTACTTAAAAATTCATCAAGCCTGTTGGTCTTCTGGTTGAATGTAGAAAACTTATCTGTAACCCACACTGGGATATTATCTACAAATCTATCAAACTGACCCATAATTGTGTCACTATCATTTGCATCTATTCTGTTTGCACTTGCTAACAGGTTCAGAACTTTCTTAAATTTGATTCTGCATGCATCTGGATCAGCTGCCATTTCCCTAGCAGTGATGCATCCAGGATTTCCAAAATATGGGGCATATGCCCCCCTAATCTGGCAAAAAGGGGGCATGAGAAGTTGAGAAGGGGGCATTACAAAAAGTATGGTTAAATGGCCATTTTGTTTATGTTTAAGCCATTAATTCTTAATCACTCATAAGCTTGCAAATGGTTCCCAGTTAATTGGCTTAGAACATGTATCAAACCATCTATTATTCAAATGATTATATTTAGGTCCAAGCTTCTCTCAAAATGGAAAGAGCTGGAAATCAAGATATGCATTTGAATAAACATATGGTTAAATAAAGTTTCAAATGAAAACTTACTTTCACTGTCTGTATCCTGATTGTTGTTTTGTGCATGGTGAAGCTGTGATAGGGATTTCACAAAATTCAGAAACCATTTTCATCAGATATATGCCCTAAACTTCCCAGTAAATGACCAGATTCCAAAATGCTCCCTTTTGGTGTGGATATACTCAACAAAGTGTTTTATGTAACACAATGTGCCTTTTGTCCTTAAGAATTTTGCTACAAACATTGCATTTCATGCTGATGGATTTTATGTTGGTATCTATTAAAGTAATTTTTAAAATCCTGTCACAATAGTACTTGGATAGAAAGCCTGGTACTTACAGAATTAAGAGGTAATAATTTACGTGACACACTTAGAGATGTTATGTGACTGTGGGGGATATATGCTTTCCTTAGTTTTAGGGGGTCTTTCGGTGAATTGTAACTACATTCTCTTGGTATATATGTAAAATAATACACTCTGTACTGATATGTGCCTTAAGACCCCTTGCAGACACCCAAGGTTTTCTGGCATACAACACTCAGGCCACAGGACATATCCCTTCTTAGAAAAATCAGAATACCATACTAAGTCCCCTGCATCATTTTCTCAGTTGTTAACAGTTTATACTTGGTATATAATCTTTTATTCCTTCAATAAACAATTTGAAATAAGGAGTAATAAAGAATAGATATCATGTTAAAAACAGTCCCTGGGTATTTTGTGTTTATTGTACATGTATATTTCTCTTGAAGTTGAATTAAATAAACTTGACATATTTTTCAGTATCTTCATTGCTTTTCCTTGTTGTTTATATTATCAATAAATACATATTTACATTATTTTACAAGAGGAAAAATTTTCCACATTACACTGCAGTATTTTCTGCAAATGAAATTGCACAGATTTAGTCCTTTCTGTGATGTTACTGAAAATCACTTCTTTTTCTTCTTCTTTAAAAGCCCTGCATATTCAAAGCTCTTCAGTGGATCTGCTTTCCTTTTCTGGAGAAGGAATATAGAAAAGATTGAATAAATGAACTTGGAACTTGGATATATATCAAAGAAATTGTCTATGAAAATTAATGCACAGAACCTTTAAAGGTACATTCGAACCCAGCATCGGTGGAGCATGGATTCCTAGTAACACATGTAAACCACTTCTACTAGATTCTTATATGACTCAAATAAATTCGACATGCCAAGGGATAAACTGAATAGATCACTCGATCAGCCATAAAAGACCTTTAGACTGCTCCTTTTTTTTAAATTTTTGGTTGTAAAATTAACCTACTTTCGTGACCTACTTTCCTGCCCCATTGACATACAGCTTAGAATGCCAGCAGAAAAATCCGTTCAAACATCATTTTCGGGTAAAATTAAACAATACCTTTTGGTAATTTTCTTAGTTATACTACTTGAAACTATATGCTGGCATTTGGTTGGTTTTTGTGACAAAAAATTGACTTTGTATGCATCTTTAAGGTATATTTTAATGTGTCAAGAAAAAAAAAAAAAAACTGACACAATTTATCAATTTTTGTTCTTACATGTAAACAATATAGAATGCAAGTACAGATGGGCAACAGAACTACTGAATGGATACCTTGTATTTCATTTCTCCCCTTGTGGGCCCTTTATGGAATTGCTTGTTAGTTCTGGCCCTTCTTCCCCCACTCTTCATGTGCCTAAGAGTTGGTGGGACTAAAAATTCAAAATAAATTGTATTAGTATTAGTTCAGGATTTTCATTTTTTTTTAAGTGTATTAGTTCAGGATTTTCAAAACATGCCAAAATAGACACTATTGTGTCAAAATAGATGATATCACGTCAAACAGTAATGCAGAGAGTACAAAAAGCAAAATTGTGGTCCAAAGTTTTAGCTTACCCAGATAGTCTGGCACGTTCTTCAAGTGTTGCTGTGTCTTTACTGTATGTAGACTTTTGTCATGCCTTAAAAGCTGCAGATCACGTGGATTATCTTCAAAATATGACTGAATAGGAAAACTCAAAAACATAAATATTACAGTTTCCATGACTAGGATAAAAATAAAGCCCAAAGACGAATATCAGAGTAGCATATGTCTATGTCCTATGACTGAAAAATACAATTGTTGGATTTATGTAATTAAATAATCCAACATTTAGTTTCTGCTAATATAATTTATAAAAGGTTAAAAACTTAAGAAAAACATCTAACCTTCAACTTCTGAGAATTTAGTATTTCTGACTTAATTTCCTTCAGTCTTGCCTCTCTTACAGCAACCTTAGTCACAGCTCTCATGGCATCCTGCAAATAAAAAAAACCCCATACATATGATCCCAATGCTATATACCTCAAAATCTAGTGCCACAGTTGCAAATTGGAGACAACATTACCACAACCTTAAAAGCTCAAGCCTGTGTTAAGTGGCAATTTCTGTGTAATCTATAATGATTCCATTACTGCCTACCTTTGCTCTATACCTAAACCCCTCAATCTCCTCCATCCTGAACTGAAAGGGCTTGAACAATGTCTCTTCCTCAGCTAAATAAGAAATATACAAAATGGTTGCATCAACAAATGACATTGCATACGTTCCCTAATCAATTCATTGAAACAAATGTTAGGTTGAGCATCAGAGGAAAAAAATCTCAAGTTGTTATGTCATTTAGAGAAAACATTTCACTGATGCTGAGAGAGATGCAAAAGGGAAAAAACTACTGGAAAGAGAGGCAACAAATGTATTAAGGAATCTGTTATGTTACCATGGCTTTATAAACTGTACAAACAGCACAACCACAAACAACTATTTTGTCTACTAACGATGTGAGTCTGCTAGTTCCTCCTCACAATGCTCTAACAATGGCATTTCTTTCACGCTGATAAAGGACAGTGCTGTGCCTTGGTTGTCAGCCCTGGCAGTCCTGAAATCCATGATATGACATAAATTATTCATATCAATAATAAACATGACAGGGTTGCTGAAATTTAACTTTCAAGTACAATGAACAAACTGCAAAATTTCCAACCTGCAATATACTATATAAAAACCTCAAATATGGTAAAATTACAGATTGAAAGAAACTACACATTTTCCAAATCTCTTTTTAAAATACATCAGTCAGTAGCATCTTTCATATTTTCATACTTGATTCTTATACACCTCATACTGTACAAAGGTTAAACCCCTTATTTTATATTAAAGTAAATATGTATCTCAAATCTTACCTTCCTACTCTGTGAATGTAGGCATCTACATTAGCTGGGAAGTCAAAGTTGATAACATTGGACACATTCTGAAAGTCTATTCCCCTGGACACACCATATTCCTTATCTTTTTTACGCACTCTGAAAAGATATATATAAAAACACTCTGGTAAGACATTTGAAAAGTCAGAGAACCCTCCAGGCAACAAAATAGTACTGACAATCACTCACAGATGCCAAAGGCCAATTCATTTCAGTTTTAAAATGATAACTTTTTTCTCTACAATTTTGCCTTTTGAAATATCTTATTTAACCATTTTACCTTTCATTATTTTTGCTTACTTTTTCTGTTTTGTTTTTTCATCTTTGGTTTCTGTTGGGGTTTCTAAGGCTGTCTCATCAGAAGCAATGATGATATCATATAGTCCTTCATTAAACTGGTTGACAATGTGGCACCTATGGCAAAATAAGATGGCATTCATATTCCCTTAACACAAATTCAGGCGAGAACCATAAATAAAATTTCATCAGAAATAGGTTTTAATACCTTTAAAATACCTTATAAAAGTATACAACAATAACACAACAATAACACAGGCCAATGTCAAGGTACACTGTTTTGTACATACCTCGAATTGACTGGGAGCTCTGAGTTTAGAGCACAGGAAGGAATTCCAAACTGCTCTAAGAATAACTTTAACCTGCAAGTAAAATACATCTTAGTTCTTGTTTTTGTAGTACATCAAAGAATTTGAAAAATGAAAGTCTCTTCCCTTGGCAACCACCTAATTTATAAACAACTTATATTTAAAAAAATTAAATCCTTAAATAAGCCTGAGCATTCTAGTTATGTAATTCTTATATAGAGCTATTTACTTGTATGCATTAATCATTTGCAATAAATTGGCCTGTCTGTAATGCATGAAATTTATGGTAAGAAATTAACCTACATTTAATACATTAAACCCATACAAGATATTGGTTTGAATGCAATAATTTACATTCTAATGTAAACTCGCCTATAACATCTGTCAACTGAATTCACAAAGATGATGGATTTTCCACGTATTAACCTCAACTTCAGCAAGGTGTATACCAATACAAACTTGTCTTCTTCTTCACATCTAAAAAATGAGTAAGATATTAATAGCATGGCAAAATATCAAACCTGCACCACAAACACTCATCAGTCATTCTTTGCTAGTGGTGCACTGCGGGGGGACCATAACAAGAATGTTATTTAAATTTAGATAGCCGACCAAATTCTCATGACATCGTTGTGTATGTTTCAATAACAAATCAAAGAAGCTGCATGAGCAAGGAGGATATTGTTATAAAAGCAAAAGAAGAGAAAAAGCAGAAAATATATCGAAATTACCCTCAAAATGGCGTCTTTTTTTGTGGAATTTCGACCCTACCTCTATTTAGGAACAGTTTGTTTAGGGTTTGAATGAATTATTGAAGCAGGGAATACACCTACTGCAAGAAGATATAATAAACAGAATGTGCAAATAGTTATTTAAATAAAAATTTATTTGAAGTCACTGAAAAACTAGAGGATCAGAGAGGCGATACCGCCTCCGAATATTGTACCACCAGCTGGAGTAAGCGCATTCGTATAGACCCCCACATACACAAAATAAGGGACACAGCCACCAGTCTTGTGCTTGACAAGCTGTAAAAATGCAATCAACAAGAATTTTCAAAATATGCAAAAAATATATATAACTAAAAATGGTACAATCAAAGTTTAGTTCATCGTAAGGTAGGTCAAAGGTCAATTTCAAGGTCACAGTAAGATTGCCAGTATATGACTTCCTATTCAACTTCAATAGTAACTATGGACCTATCTCTGCCAGGTTTGGAGTTATAAGAGAAAGAAATAAGCAGAGTTCAGTTCATGATTATAAGTAGGTCAAAGGTTAATTTCAAGGTCTCAGTAAGATTGCCAGTATATGACTTCCCATTCAAGTTCAATAGTAACTATGGACCTATCTCTGTCAGTTTTGGAGATAAAAGGGAAGCAAAATTTGCAAAGTTTAGTTCATGGTGAAAAGTAGGTCAAAGGTCAATTTCAAGGTCACAGTAAGATTGCCAGTATATGACTTCCTATTCAACTTCAATAGTAACTATGGACCTATCTCTGCCAGGTTTGGAGTTAAAAGAGAAAGAAATAAGCAGAGTTCAGTTCATGATTATAAGTAGGTCAAAGGTTAATTTCAAGGTCTCAGTAAGATTGCCAGTATATGACTTCCCATTCAAGTTCAATAGTAACTATGGACCTATCTCTGCCAGTTTTGGAGATAAAAGGGAAGCAAAATTTGCAAAGTTTAGTTCATGGTGAAAAGTAGGTCAAAGGTCAATTTCAAGGTCACAGTAAGATTGCCAGTATATGACTTCCTATTCAACTTCAATAGTAACTATGGACCTATCTCTGCCAG